TATATAAAACAGGATGGAAAATGTCCCAAGAAATTCAATTAAAATCATTCCAAAAAGGAGCTAGCCGTCCCGTCCCCTACCCCGTGTTTGAATTTCACTTACCAAGGAAGGGCTAGCCAGGACACAGTGGAAAGTCCAATGGAAGGGGAGACCAGAGAGCTCACTCCGCACCTGTAACATCAGTGCCCCCGCCACACGCTCACAGGAGAAGGTAGCTTTTCCAGGACAAACAATGTCCTTCAACAGTGGGCGAAGCAGATCATCCAAATGACAGAGAAAAGCCTCAGGGGGAGCAGTCAGGCGCTTGTTCAGCTCCTAAAAAGGTGGCAGGAGTTGTATATTGAGGGTGCTAAGAGGAAACTGACTCCTTCATAAGTAACCTCAAACGAAAGCTCTGATTAACTTGAAGACAGAGGCATGAGAAGAGAGATCAACTGGCCTACTTCACAATTCTGCCTTGTACTGTATGCAGCACATACGGTAAATTAAATACAGAGACCCTGTGGAGAGATCCCAGGACTATCGATAGAAGCACAAGACATTAAATGGAATTATCTCAACCTGACTCAACCTTCCTTGACAACTGCAAGGCTAGCAAGCTGGTTGATGTTAATGTCCGCTGGCCATCCGTAGGACATAAATTATACCCATTACCACAGCAGTACTTCCCTTCGCACTTACCTTGGCTCGCTGACTGACCACACTTGCATCCACCTGTTCGTGCCACACCTCTTGAAGATCTGAAACCAGCAAGGCATAGCCCTGCTTGGTGATATAAGCCTTAGCCAAGAGGGAGTTTTCGGCAAGCTCTAGCCATGCCCATGGCTGCATCAATAGGCCTTGCTCCAGTTCTTCCATCTGTAGGAAAGTCTTAATCAGCAGATTTTATTATAGGCCTGGGGGCAGAGAAGACCAGCAGAAAGTTCAATATCAAATAAGTCTCATGGAATTCCTCCCTAATAAAACAGAAAACATGGGTTATTATTCTACCCCACTCATCACCCCCAGCTCCCCAACCCCAGTATATAACCAATTGAGCACCAATCTTAGTACCTCTTTGCCACTAAAAATCTATTTAGAATTTTGAGGAAATTTTTTTCTATATTAAGTTCCTAGAGGGCATAAAATATCTCTTTCTGCAATAGTGTTTAAGCCTCAGCATATTGGTATTAGTATTTTTGCTTTTTAATAATATAACTTAATGTGGAAACCTAAACCATTCTTGTTGCGTATTTATCACATTCCTAAGAAATATGTCAATGTTATCTTTTCCCAAAACTTCTAGAAGAGAATGGATAGTTCTTGTCTCAGAAAACATCATAAATCATAAGTGTCATCAGAGAAAATTCAAATTATTTGATCCTTATCTAAAAACAAAACTCTAGAAGCTCTCAGAATATATATTCACTAAACAGAAATACATATTCTATAAATATATACAATGTCAAATATAATAATAGATGATATATGTAAAATAATATAAATATCTATTCCCTAAGACAGATTCTTAATCTAGAATCTATGCATGTGAATCCTCTGTAATTGCATGCAAAATTTGTGCATACATGCATATATTCATTCAGGGAGAAGAAGTCCACAGCTATTGACAAATTCTCAAAGGAATCAATGACACACAAATAAAAAGCAAATAAACACTGTGTCCAGAGCAAACACGAAAGCCCAAATCCCATTTCAAGAAGAACCTGAAAGACTAAGACTCATGAATACAAGACAGAGTACATCACAGAGTTAGAGATGAACACCCACTTCACTCATTTCAGAATATAAATACAAAGTGAAATTTTCTTTATATTCTGCGCCTCAGAATATAAAGAAAATTCCTTGGGTTTCATTAACAAAGTTAACATGGTTTGCTCCAATCATTTCCATCTCAGTCAAAGCTATTATTCTTGTGGGTAGACAAATGAAATATTGTGACTTTCTTTTGCAGCAGCTTCAAATTTTGTTTCTTGAATGGTACATCGGTCACCTTGCCTACCATGCTGCTCCTCCCGGGAAGAAAAGACCTTGGAATGATTAAGCAACTCCTCACTGTACCAGAACTCATTGACAAAGGTCGCAGACACAGTGAAGTCGCCAAACCCTTTTCTCCCATAGTGGCACTACCTACAGCGTACTGTCTGATTCACCAAAATTGGGTTATCCTGGCCGGTCACTTCAGAAAACCCTGAAGCTCAGGAACATCAAACTGTGGAGCTTGTGTGTAGTTTTGTTTTGGAGGTAGGGGAGGAGCTTAAAGTGTGGCCAGGGTCAACAGGCCCCATAAAAAGGTCTGAGATAGTTAGCGCCAGCCCCAGCCACCCGCGTCCTGTTGGGTCTGAGGTTCTCTATCCCACCTTTTTCTTTTCTTTAAGATCGCCTTTAACCCTCACATTAACCAGATTTTCCCGCTTATTAAATTATTTTTATTGACTTCAGAGAGGAAGGGAGAGAGATAAACATCGATGATAAAGAATCATTAATCAGCTGTCTCCTGCATGCCCCCCCAACTGGAGATCCAGTAGCAACCCGACATGTGCCCTGATAGAACCCAACCCTGACCTCATGGTTCATAGGTCCAAGCTCAACCACAGAGCCACCCGGAAGACCCTTTTATTATTCTTGAAGGAAGTGAGGGTGCACCCAGAGCCAACAGCAAGGTGAGGTCACCACGGAAGGCGGATTTGCACCAAGCCCCGCCCCTCGGCCTGCAGTTCAGTGCAGTTCCCTCGCCAACCAGCAGAGGGCAGCAAGGCCCCGGCGGCTCTTGGGCTGGGCCACGCCCCGCTCCTGTGGGAGGGGCGAACCCTCGCTCCCGGGACTGCAGCCCCAGCCCGGGAGCCGCGCCCGGCGCCCTCGCTGGAAGGGCCTCCGCCGTCCGCCTTAGCGTTTCTACAGCTTCGGCTGCACTGTGGCGCGGCTCGGGACCCCTCAGGAGCTAACAAAGCCAGCCACCCGCTGCCTGATGCGACAAAGCAGCCCGCCGAGGAGCTGTTCCCCCGACCCCGCCTCGCGGCCGGGAGGCGGGCTGTGCGCGTGCGCGGCCCCGAGGCCCCGCCCACCCCGGGAGGTCGGGCCGGGAGCGTGGGCCACGCAGGCCCCTCCGGGGACAAAGCGCCCGTGGCTGCGGCAGCGCCCAGGGTCGGAGTAGCCCCGCGCTGCTCGGCCCAGCTCTGGTCCCGGTTGGAGCACGACCCCACCTACCGTGAGCGGCTGCAGCAGCTCCCACCCTCCCCGCGGCAGGCCCGCCGCCCACGCAAACCGAAAGGCCTAGACTAGAGCCATTCCCCACCCCCATCGGGAGGCGGGCCTTGGGGACCTAGGGCGGAGCCCGGGCCCACTGGGCGGGACATCTGGGCCCTCGGAGCTGATGGAAGGAGCGCTCTGACCTGGAGGTCCAGCTTCGCGAGCTGGAGAGGCAGGGCGGCCCGCTAATGGAGAGGTGGAGGGGGAGCTGGCCCAGTGGAAAGAATGTGGGGGGGGGGGGGGGTGGCCCCGCTCAATGGTTGAGCGTCCACCTATGAACCAAGAGGTCACCGTTAGATTCTGGTCAGCGCACATGCCGGGATGGCAGACTCCATCCCCATAAAGGGGTGTGCAGGTAGCAGCTGATCAATGATTCTCTCTCATCATTTTTTTGTTTGTTAGTTTTTGTTTGTTTTTTATAAAGCCTGGGAGAAGTGAATGTGATCATTCTTTTTTAAAATATATTTTATTGATTTTTTACAGAGAGAAAGAGAGGGATAGAGAGTTAGAAACGATGCCCTTGACCGGAATCGAACCCGGGACCTTTCAGTCCTCAGGCTGACGCTCTATCCACTGAGCCAAACCGGTTTCGGCTGTTTGTTAGTTTTTTAATGCTCTGAGGTGCATGGGGAGAAGTCCTGTATTTGGACTTGTCAATGAATGTCACTTCCCCTGCCTCCCCTATATTGCCATAATTCGGCTTCATCACCACTGAGAAGCTGGAAATCCCTCAAATCATCTTGTACTTTGTACAATTTATGTTATTTTTTCTTGAGCTGGATACCTGAGCTGAAAAACTCTTCTGGTGCATTTTCCATAGCCCAAATCTTCCTCTTGCTAAGGCCAGTTTCAGTGCTGCATCTTTCAATAAAGCCTTTTCCATTATCCCAAGTCAGAATTAATTGCTTCTTCCTCTTTGCTCCCATGACATTTTTTAAAATATATTGATTTTTCACAGAGAGGAAGGGAGAGAGAGAGAGAGCTAGAAACATTGATGAGAGCGATACATCGACCAGCTACCTCCTGTACACCCCCCACTGGGGATGTGCCCACAACCAATCAATGTACATGCCCTTGACCGGAATCGAACCTGGGACCTTTCGGTCGGCAGGCCGATGCTCTATCCACCGAACCAAACCGGTTTCGGCTCCCATAGCATTGTTTTAATCTTCGATACAGACTGCCTTCTGCTTTGGATTTTAGTTAATAATTACATAAGTCTTTTAAAACCATTAATGGTTTTTTTTTAATATATATTTGTATTGATTTCAGAGAGAAAGGGAGAGGGAGAAAGAAACACCAATGATGAGAATCACCAATTGGCTGCCTCCTATGAGCCTGCAATCCGGGCATGTGCCTTTGACCAGTATTGAACCCAGGACCCTTCAGCCCAAAGGCCAACACTCTATCTACTGAGCAAAACCAGCTAGGGCAAAACCATGAGTGTTTTTTGTTTTTTGTATGTTTTTTTAAATATATTTTATTGTTTTTTTACAGAGAGGAGGAGAGAGAGATAGAGAGCCAGAAATGTCAATGAGAGAAACATCGACCAGCTGCCTCTTGCACACCCCCCACCGGGGATGTGCCCGCAACCAATGTACATGCCCTTGACCAGAATCGAACCCGGGACCCTTCAGTCCGCAGACCAACGCTCTACCACTGAGCCAAACCAGTTTAGGCCATAAGTGTTTTGAAGGCCTTGCACATGGGAAGCACTCAATAAATATTTAAGTGAATTCTGGAGTTCAAGTATAGATAATTTACAGGCAAAATCTTATTTATTCATTCATGGCCCCTGCTCTGAAACAGTTGGACCTAATTAAGAGAAGGAAAGGCAACATACCTATTGGGAAACAAGACCCTTAGGTAGACTCATTTTGCATACACACACACTCCCTAAGAGAACGTAGAACCCGAGAGCTGACTCTCCAGCAAGCTGGGAGATAAAGCAATCTAACCAGAGCATATGAATCCTGGAATTAGTGGGGCCTAAGTTCTTCTCTGCTAGACCGGGGGCACTGTTCCCCAAAACCAGGCAGCAAGTCGGCTGTCTCTCCTGGCTCAGCGGGCCCTCCTTCCTCAATCCCAGGTTCTTCAGGCAGTGGGCAGAGGCAACGGGCCAGCTGGGGAACACAGGGACACAAGTTTTGGAGGAGGAAAGGAAGCTCATGCTCTTGAGGAGCCTTCTCCCTGGAGTTCTGGGGCATCCAAGCCTCTTGGGCAGTGAAAGGGGATGGTAGCCCTTGACCTAGGCCTCGTTCAAGCCGTGTGCCTGCAAAACAGAAGTCAGTCAGGCCATTGCCCAACCCAGGGAGTGATGACTTCCTGGCCATTCCCAGTCTAGGGCCTGACCTCAACTTACCAGGAATGGTGTTCTCTAGGAGGAAACCCAAAAGGCCCGCCAGGAAGATGTGCTCTGTGAGCAGCGAGTGAAGTAACACATCCAAAGGGCTCCAGCCTATAGGAGTGGGACCAGGCAAACTCTGATACCAAAGTCAATGAGTATCATCCTTCCAGACTTAAATCTAAGTCTTGGACTAAGGACAGATCTTTCTGAATCGCAGTTACATCCCCTTTGTCCTTTGTCCCTCTCCACCCTGGCCCTTCTCACAGGATCCCTGCTCAACACCCTATCTTCTGAGCATCCCCATGTCCTCCACATCTGCTTTAGTTGTTCCAGGCTCCCTGTCTCTGGAAAGTTTTGTATTAAAATCCCTAACCTTATTTCCCACTTACCTTCTATGCTCTAGCCTGGGTTTTTCAACCTCAGTACTACTAATCTGTCTTGTGCACTGTATGATACTAAGCAGCATCCCTCTACCCACTACATGCCTGTAACAATTCCCCATCCCCTTTTTGTAACAGCCAAAAATGTCTTCAGACATTGCCAAAGTCATTCTTAATGGATAATCACTGCTGTTTGCTAAGCTGAACTAACAAACTAAGCTATTTCTGCTCTCAGGACATCCCCTATGACTTCCTACTTCTACGTCTTTATGATTCCTCCACCAAGAATGACCTTCTCACCAAATGTGCTTAAATCTTAGCATCCTTCAAGACCAGCTCAATGTTACTTTCTCCATAAAACTTACCTGGGTCATCTCAAATCATAAGTCATCCATCCCTTCACCACTAAACAGCAAGCTCTTTATCTGAACCCTTCCTGTTATGTGCCTACACATCTAATTTCTTTTGCTAGACTGTAACATCTGGAGGCACCTTTTGGATTCCAAGGAACTTGCATGGAGCTCAATAAATATTTGCTAAACAAGTGGATGAACTATTTATACGAAAGACCAGAAAAGGGTATAGGGCCTGCAATTCAGAGAGCCTCAAGCCTTAAGCCCTGGTTTCCCAATACTGAGCAACTTCTCCCCCCTCCCCTCCCTTCCACCTGTGCTTAGTAGGACCGGAGCTTCCCGAAGCCATCTTGGCAGCAGCAGGGCCATGAAGATGGTGAAGCCAACAATAAAAACATTCCGCCCAGAGTCAATGTCAGCCAGGTGGAAGTTGGAGAATCCAGTAGACAGAACCACAGCCTGGGTCATGCCCAGCACTCCACCTGTCTCATAGGAAAGTCATCAAAGGAGTTGAGAGAGGGCTGGCACAGCGGGGAGTATTGCAGGGTGGGGCAGATTGTGACAGAGAGAGATGATCAAAAGGCCGGTTTCTGATTCTGCCAAAAGCCAAATCAAGGGCTTCTTGTTGGTCTGAGAAAATGAAGGCAGCTGTATCAGGGAGACTATTCAGAAAAAAAGGGTGCCAGCCACAACAACAGCTGGGCCACTAGGTCAATACTAAGGAGATAGTAGGGGGGGATACTAGGTCAATACCAGTTCTGCTGATACATTCACTCACCAAGAACAGGCAGTGGGATGGTGGTGAGGAGGTGGGCCAGCCTCGGGGAGAGCCCAAGCCCCACACAGAGCAGCCCCACCAAGTAGGCCACTCGCTGAGATCCAGACTGCATGAAGAAGAGACATTAGAAAACACACTATTCAAGGTGTTTGCCTGGTGGCCTCTTCTCACCATTTGGATCCCAACTCAAATGTCACTCTTCCATGGAGCATCCCCAAGCACTCTACCTAAAGGGGCCTTCTTTACTCAACCACTGTCCCACTAACTGCTTTGTTTTCAGGAAATTACCTTATTTATGTTTTGGGGTGTGTGTGTGTGTGTGTTTCTCAAATTGTCTGCCTCACCGAAACCGGTTTGGCTCAGTGGATAGGGCGTCAGCCTGCGGACTGAAAGGTCCCAGGTTCGATTTTGGTCAAGGGCATGTACCTTGGTTGTGGACACATCCCCAGTAGGAAGTGTGCAGGAGGCAACTAATCGATGTTTCTCTCTCATTGATGTTTCTAACTTTCTATCCCTCTCCCTTCCTCTCTGTACAAAATCAATAAAATATATATTTTTTAAAATCAATAAAATAAATTTTTTTAAAAATAGTCTGCCTCTCCCTTTCGGAAGACCCCAAGAGAGCAGGGACTTTATCTGACACATTCTTCACTGGAACCCCAGCCCTGATACAGTGCCCGAGGCATAGAAGTTTGATTTTTTTTTTTAATAAAGAAAAAAATAAATCTTTATTTTTAACCAGATAAAGAATTCCAATAATTTTTTTCATCATGGAGTGGGAAAGAGTATTGAGATACTCTCCACCCATATACCTAGGAGCCAAACCTATAATGGTATGTTTAATCCTAGGCATTTCTTTTCTCTCCCAGCTACTGATGGCTCCACGTGTTCCTTGGCTTGTGGCTGCCTGTGTGGTCACATAGCCTTCTTTCCTGTGCTTGTGTTTCTCTTCTTGTCTCTATTATAAGAACACTAGTAGCCCTGCACATGAATCCATGTGCCAGTAGCTCACTGCCACCCTCCAGTAGCTCTCCAAGAAGTTCGATATTGATTTGGTGTCTTCCTTACACTCCTAGCCCCTTACCACTTCTAGGCACCTCCCTGAATGAGAACACTGATATGAAGTGCCTAACAGAGTATAGCACACAGCTGTCAATCGGTCAGTGTGAGTTCCCTTCCCCTCTCTGCATCTCCAGTACAGCCCTCCCCTCCACCCCCCTGCCATCCCATCCACATACCTGGATAAGACTAACTGTGCCCACATTGGGGAAACTGGATGCAGTGCCTATCGGGCTCCCCAGCAGCCCTGCCAGCACACTTCCCAAGCCCTCCAGGCTCAGCCCTCGACTGCAGGCATGAGGAGGCAGAGAAGGCAAATGCAGCAGCCAGCCACACAAGGCGTAGCAGCTCAGGGAGCTGATGGAGGTTGCCAAGGCCATGGAGATGCCTGCAGCCAGAGCCCGCGGGGTCAGCAAGGGCCAGACCCACTCAGCTGAAGAGAGAGGAAGAGTCACTTTGGGGCCAGACTCAAGTCTGGAGCATCCCCTTACCTCCAAAGGACTGTGCTAAATAAATCCTAGAGGCCCCATTGCCTTTGAAGATATCTTAGGACAAAACCATCACACTCTTAGAATAAAAACCATTCTTTTACCATGGCCTACAGGTCTTCTTTGGTCTGACCTTACCTCTGTCCCTCTAGCCTCAATCCCCACCACACTCTGCCCGACTTCTTCATTCCAGATACACTGTCCTTGTTTAAGATCCTTATATTTGCTGTGCTGCTGGTTACCACAGGGCTTTTGCATATGCTGTTCTCTCCACCTGGAATGCTCTTCTGTCTTCCTTCACCCAGTTAGCTCCTACTCATCTCTCATGTCTCAGCTCAATGATCACTTCCTCAAGAATACCTTTCCTGCCGAAACCGGTTTTGCTCAGTGGATAGAGCATTGGCCTGCAGACTGAAAGGTCCCAGGTTCGATTCCGGTCAATGGCATGTACCTTGGTTGCAGGCACATCTCCAGTAGGGAGTGCGCAGGAGGCAGCTGATCTGTTTCTCTCACATGGATGTTTCTAACTCTCTATTCCTCTGTCTTCCTCTCCGTAAAAAATCAATAAAATATATATTTTTTTAAAAACGAATACCTTTCCCGACTCTCTGATAAAGTCAGACTCCCCATTATAAGCTTTCATCACACAATGTACTCCCCGCCCCATTGTTACACTTGCCACATGAAATTTTGCATTACTTGGATGCCTACTTAGTTAGGATCTGCATTGCCCAATAGATTATAAGTTTCATGAGAACAGGTACTATGTATGTCATGTTTATCACTGTGTCCCCTTATCAAGTACCTATTAAATGGATGAATGAGCGGATTTCAGATACAACGCCTCAAAAGCAATCTTTATATACAGGTCACTAACTCAAATGCCTGTGGGGTAGGTAACATAATTGAGTAAATTGGATAAGGAGTATCAGTAGAAGTGCAGGGGATTGCAGATATCTCTTAACACTAAATAAGACATCTGTGGTGAGGGGCTTGCATTGATCCTGAGACTGACAATTTCTCTCCCTGTGTGTTTTGAGAAAACACAGGATTTAACTCCGAAATTAAGTTCATTAAATCTTGAGTTAATGATTCAAGATTTTAACAAGAGGATGGAGGACTAGGAGAAAACGTACTTGGGTGAGGCAGCCAAAGCCACGGTGCCTCAGTGGGGGCAGACAGCTCCAGGGGGATGGCGCTGAGACTCAGAAGGGCAGAGATGATCCACACACAGGCCACTGGGACCAGCACCTGAGGGGCAAGACTGAGATGGAAAAGAACCTCCTTCCACCCCCCAGATCCTTCCAGGCCAGCCTTAGAGGAGTAACAGAGGCCAGATAGTAGGGGGTGGGTCGAGCAAGTGTCCCATGCTGGCCCTTCTAATCTTGACTGCCCCTGCCCGGATCCCCACATACCGAGAGGAGCCGGAAGGCAGGGATGCGAGTGCAAGGTGAAGCTGGCCTCCAGGGGCATGGAGGTAACTGGCAGGAGCCCAGGTGCTGAGAACAGACCACCATGAGCAGGATAAGCCTAGGAGAGGGAAGGCATCCTGAGGCAGGCAATGGAGACAGGAGTGGCAGAATACCACAAAAGAGAAGAAAGACTCCCGTGGACGAGGAAGGACGGCCTTTGGGGGTCAGAGGAATACTGTGTGAAAGTTAGACTGAATTAGTCCACAAAGTAGTCCCTTCTCAGATAGCTGCTCAATCTGGTAGCAACTTTGCCCTACCCCCGCCCCCTGTCCTACATACCCCACTGGTCACCACCCCACGCCTCTCAGGACTTACGTACAGCAAGGCCAGCCCCCAGTGACCGGAGCAGAACAGGGCCACCTCCCTGTAGGCAGAGAGCCCTGCCACAACCAGGCTGGGGGCCAGTACCAGGGGTCCGCAGTGAAGAAACAAGTGGCCAGGAGCCCCCAATAGTCCCAGTGTGCCCTGCAGCAGCCCAGACACCACCACTGCCCCAGACACCTGGTGGAGTGGAGGACAGGACAGAGAAAACATTCTGCTTGACCGAGTTGACCTTGGCTGGTCTTTCTAATCCCAGGGTGGGTCCCTTCCCCAGAGCACCCCCTCCTCTCTCTTCTCCCAGAGCAGTTCACTCCCTGCATAATGGAAACCAGAGCCTCCCTAGCCCCAGGCACTACCTCTTGGAGAGAAGTATTCCAGAGCTCCAGGCGATAGCAGCCAGGCCCCTCACACGGGGGCAGCTTGTGGGAGGCTAGAAAGTTGGGGGCACGGAGAGGAGGTAAAATGGAATGATACAGCTTCAAGACTCCCAAGTTGCCTTTTCTCAATTCTGTCCCTACCTACACCTGTATGCTCAGGTTAGCCCCCAACCCCACCCTCACCCTTGCTTGGTGCTCACAGTTTCCAGGTGTCTGGAAGGCCAGAGGCAGCTTCTGGTTGGTCAACACCAGAGCAGGAACAAGGAACTCAAAGGATGGAGCCTGGACAAGAGGCAGCCTGTAGGAACAGCAGCCCCAGCAGGTCTGGAAACAGGTTGCAGCCAACAGGACTTCCCAAGGTTCTAGCCACCCCCGGGACCTGCCCTCTCTCTCTAGGGAGCCCCCCTTACCTGCTGCCCATCCAAGTTTGCAGGATGGTAGACACACCACATGCAAAGAGGCTGGAGGCCAGGAGGTGGGCAGGGGAGTAAGAGAGTCCTCCTGGGGGGAGACTTCGAAGCAGAAGCAGGTGCGAGGCACAGAGGAGAGAAGCCAGGACCAAAATGTGCTGCAGGTGGAGGTATGGAAAAGGGTGGTCTTCAGAATTAGGCAGAAATACCTATTTCCAGAGAATCTCTAATGCCACATCTATCCCCCAAACACCCCCTTCAGCACCAACTCCTGCACCTCTGCCTCCTACCTGCAAAGCCAGAAGACAGCCGAGGCCCCAGGGAGGAGGCCCACTGAGAGAGGCCCAAGAGTGGGAGGAGGGATTTTGGACAGCAAGCTGTGGAGACAGGGGAGCCTGGGTTTGCTGGGAGCCCACAGATCTGAGTTGGATGGTTTGGGGGTGTGATCGGCTCATGCTGTCCTGCCTTCCGTCTTGTGTTGACTGCCCTGAGCCAGAATTAAGTAGAGTAAGAGGTCAGAGTTTGGGTGAAGTCAGAGTTTGGCTGCCTGGAGTGGGGAGGTGGTTGGAGTGCCAATGAAGCAGAACGAAGGAATGAGAGATTTGGGAGAGACACGGCACTTTCACCTTTGCCCAGTTCTTGTGCAAATTCCATCACCCATTAACTGAGAGTCATGTTCTGGACCCCTCCCCCAAGAATCTCCATCTATTGTATAATAGATCCCTTGTTCCAGTCTCTGTAAAGCAGGATAAGAAAGGTGAGGAGACCTAGAAAATAACCCGGGAAGATTTTAGACTCTATTCCCTCCTCTCCAATGCAATGTATAATAGAACCATCATTACACTACAGTCCTCTACCCTTTCAGGGTCAAAGCCCTGGGACTACCTTAAAAGGTAATGGATGGGTAATGAATGACATACATGACAAATTAAAATGCCCTTACTGTAATATAAAGGAGAAATAAAAATAATTTATGCCGAAACCAGTTTGGCTCAGTGAATAGATTGTCAGCCTGCAGACGGGAAGGTCCAAGATTTGATTCCGGTCAAGGGCATGTATCTTGGTTGCGGGCACAACCCCAGTAGGGGTGTGCAGGAGGCAGCTGATTGATGTTTCTCTCTCATAGATGTTTCTATCATTCTCTCTTCCTCTGTTAAAAATCAATAAAATATATTTTAAAATAATAATAATAATGATGATGATGATAATAATTTATGACAAAAGGTATTTCATTATGTGAAAGTTGGGGCCCAACTGAAAGAGAAGGCCGTGAAGTGATCCAGGCCCCACCCCCATATGAATCACTGTGGATGCAGTAGCCTGATGCCGATACTGGTCCTTTCCCGTCCACTCTTGGACAACAGGCGGTGCTGTCATTGGTGACCTTATGCTTCAAAGTAGTGAACAAGTTCATGGTAAAGTGCTAAAGCAAAGTTAAGTTTTAATTTGCAAGGAGGTGCATTCCTGGAAAATGGAGTCTTTTTCAAAATGTGCAAAAAGGACTTTGTGTTTACATGTGAAGCTAGATGGTTTAGGGTTCAATATAAACAGGGTTTTCCTAGCAGGATGTGCAGCCGGTCACTCCAAAGTCATAGTGGGAATTCTTCCTAATAATCGGGGTCCTGAGCATCTCATGTGTCTAGCATTCTGCCCAGGGCAACTAAATGCCAGTAGCATACCTTCAAATTTTTGCATCAAAAAATGCCTCATAGCCCTGACTGGTTTGGCTTGTTGGATGGAATGTCAGCCTGCAGGGGATTCCGGGGTCGACTCTGGCCAAGAATGCATGCCTGGGTTGTGGGCTGGATCCCCAGTAGGCGTGTAGAAGGCAGCCAATCAATGATTCTCATCATTGATGTTCCTCTCCCTCCCCCTTCCCTTCCTCTCTAAAATCAATAAAATATATATATATATATAAATATATATATATAAAATATATATAAATATATATATATATAAATATATATATATATTTTTTTTTTAAATGCCTCATTCATTTTCAAAATGCCCCGCAGGAGGCAGGCAGTACTCCCCTGAGTCATTGAAAGCAGTCCCAAATACTTGCAGTCCAGCTACCTAGAAAGGTTTTCCTTCTTCCAATGATAACCCAGCTTGGGACTGCTCTTAACACCAACTACCTGCACATGACAGACTGGATTGGAAGTCAGGATTCATAGGTGTCCTTGGGGTTTGCCCTCAAGGAGCTGATGGGGCTTGGCCTCTCTCCAGATGTGATTCAGAAATTACAAGGGTGGTGCTCACCCAGAATTTTCAACAGTCATGGCCAGCCCCAGGCATGGTAGTCACTATCGGTGCGCCACAGTCCCCAAGTTGGGCAGCGCTAGTGACCCCAGGGTGCTGGGAGCAGGGATGGAGGGAAGTTTGGAATGGAAGCCTGTGACTATTAAACAGGACGTTCTGAAATGGAGCTCAGAAGGAGTCGTAGATAATGGGACTGGGAAGTAGGGAGGCTTAGAAGGCAGATATGGGAAGTCAGCCCTTCCGAGGGCTGCCAGAGAAGGAAGAGTCCAGGCCATGCAACTGAAACTGTTTATTGAAACCTCAGTTCTACAAAAGCGTGAAAAACCCAGATACAAAGCAGTGGCCAGAGAGGCCTGCGAAGAGAACACCCAGAGAGGAACCAGAAGAGAGGGAAGCCCAGGAGTAGGGTACTGGAAAGACAAGGTTGGAAGACAAAAGGGCAAGGTCGAAGGTCCCAGCAGTCCCAGGCTCCTTTAGACTCCATCCCAGGGGCAGGTGTGTGGATTGGGTTCCCACCTCACCCTGCCTTCCCTCAGAGCTCCCACCTTGGCCCTATCAATCCCTGGCTCTCTTGCCTCAGAGACATCACACAGACCTGGTCAGCATTTCCTCCCTCCCTCGCCCACATTTCCTATCTCCCACCTTTTCCTAGATCCCAGGAAACTAAACAGCTAAAGTCTAAAGAGCTAGAGGAGGTGAAGAGACAAGGGCTTCTCCTCTGTCCACTTGTGCCATGCCCCTGGTCACTGAGTCGGAGCTTCCCCTGGCACCATCACTGCCCTGGCCAAGCAGCCAGCTACTGAGGCTTAGGAGAGCAAGAGACCTTTAGTCCTTTAGCCCCATAACCCCTTAAGCTCCCTCACCCAGAACAAGGGACCAGCCAAGGACCCAGAGAGGTAGAGAGGATCTAAATCAAGCATTGCTCCTCAGGTTCTCGGGGACTCCCAAGTCCTCTTCATGCATTCCTCGGAACCCTACCTAGCCCGGGAAAATGAAAGACTTGAGGCGGGCCAGCTCCATGATGCTGAAAATGGAACACTGCTGGGGCTGTGGGAGCAGAGAAGGCACTGGGCTCCAGGGCCAGGGTGGAGCCAGGCCATGGGAATGGTACCAGGGGCTTGGCGGCCCCGTATGGTTGGAACGGTGGCAGGCATGGCAGGTTGGTGAGTCTTTCTGGAGCTTCTGGCAAAAGGGACAGTTATGGAGAAGAGTGGGAGGGGCAGGAGGGTCTGGGGGAGGCAATGGCGGCGGGGTCAGCGAGGCCAGAAGACTGCCCCAGAGTGAACGCAGCCCTACGTCGCCTTCCAGGAAGCTGGAGACATTAGCAGGAGACGGCAGGCACTGTGGCACAGGAGAAGGTATGCAGGGTTCCAAGAGGCACTTGGAAGCCAGTCCGAGGTCTGGGGGGCCGGGTGGCAGGCTGCAGGACAGCCCCAAAGACTGGTGTATCACAGCCACGGATGCCACAGCCAGGGCCACACTGCTCACATATGCTACCGCTAACAGGCAGGACAGCTGCAGGAGAGAAGATAAGAAGGATCAGTGTCAATTACCCTTCCCCTAAAACCTGCGACTGATAGTCGTTAACGCACCCACCCGGGTCTCTAGAAGTTCAAGTTAGAGCTCTCTGTCAACATCTCCAAAACCCCATCTCCTGAGCTTTTTAGCATTTGCTTCACAGCATCCCACCCACACACCAACCCACTCAAGCCTCCTATCCTTCCTGACCCCTTCTTACCTTTGCCAGCTGCTGGCAGAGGGAGCCCAGGGCCAGCTGCCAGGCTGGCTGCTCCAGCAGCACACACAGGTCTGTGTAGGTGTACCAGCCCCGTCGTCGTCCCTGATGCTCAGCCACACTGTTGGGAGGGGAGAAAAGACAGAGTCTGCAGCTGGCCCAATGGCACCGTAATTCTCCCAGGGACCCACCAGGGAACACTGGGGAACATGCTAAAAATACAGATTCCTAGGCTGCCTATTGATCTCGGAAACTGAGAGTGAGACCAAGATCTGTGGGGTTTTTTGTTTGTTTGTTTTTAATATATTTTATTGATTTTTTACAGAGAGGAAGAGAGGGATAGTCAGAAACATCGATGAGGGAGAATCATCAATCAGCTGCCTCCTGCATGCCCCTTACTGGGGATGTGCCCGCAACCAAGGCACATGCCCTTGACCGGAATCGAACCCGGGACCCTTCAGTGAACAGGTGGACACTCTATCCACTGAGCCAAACTGGTCTCAGCTAGATCTGTGTTTTTTATAAGCTTCTCCCACTCTCCCAAAGGTGACCAATTATAAAAAGGTTTGGGAATCAATTTCTTGGACAATTCTCTTCCCAGTCTGCCCCCTCTGCCCCGCCTCTTACCCCCACCCCATTACACAGACCCTTATCTCTGTCTAGCTCCTATGGCGTAGGCCTCAGTCCTTAAGCCCCTCAATTCCTAGAACTTACCAGCTCTCTAACCAGCTCAGCACCTCAAATATCTCCCGAGGGTCAGTGTAGAGACGCCAATCCTGTGGGTATGAAGAGAAGGGCACCAAACTAGACATGAGCCACAATAATTTAATAACCAGAGCAGCAATAGCACAACTGCCACTGTGCATAATACTCACTTGACACTTACTATGTGCCAAATACTGTTCCAAGAGCTTTTATGTATTAACTAATTTAATCATCACATATCTGTATTCATATTACACCCTCCATTAATGGCACAGGGAGAAAATAATCCTGCTAATGGTCCATGAGGCTAGGAGTAGAGAAAGTCTGGCAGCAAATAATCAGCACCCAATAGGATAAACTCTTGACTCAAAGTGTACCCAGCTGGGCTTGGAGGAATGGGGGAGCTGGGATACTCCATTTCTGGCCTCACCTCACCTTCAAAGGCTATAGTTAGTCCTGAGGGCTAGACAGGGAAGATACTAACAAGGAGGACAGGCAGAAAGAGAAATTAAGAAACAGAGGGCTGAGAGAGAAAAGACAAAGCGTGAAAGGAACGTAAAGATGGGCTAGGGAAACAGAGCGAGAGGAGAGCTACTCACCATGGCACTCAGGAAGCCCCTCTCCAGGGCATTGAGAGTGGGCACAGCCACACCCCCTGCAGCTCCCCATTCGTCATTGAAGACCTCCTCTTCCTCCCCTTCATCATAGAGGTACTTACTGGCCACCATCTGCAGAGGCACCAGAGGTGGTGTCAACAACAGAGCTCACATTGGGCTCCTAGCTCACCAGAGAAAGGAAGGGGAGGGGCTGTCCTACCATGGAGATCAGGAACAAGTCGGAGGAGGACACATGCTGTAGGTAGTCCGGGTTTCGGTGCCGGAGCCGTTCAATGTACACCAGAGCTAGCATCATAGCACA